GTTGTTGTTTTTTATTATCCTCACCTGAGGACATTTTTCTGTTTTTTTGTTCAGATAGAGCGGGAGGGAGAGAGAGAGAGAAACATCGACATGAAAGGGACACATCGAGTGGTTGCCATCTGCACGACCCAACCAGGGCCGGGGACAAACTGCAACCGAAGTACGTGCCGTTAGCGGGAACCAAACCCAGGTCTCTCTGGACCGCAGGCCGATGCTCTAACCGCTGAGCCAAACCGGCCAGAGCTGTTGTTGTTTTTTAGTCCTCTGGAGCTGACAGTGCTGAGACCCACCCTAGGTGTGGCAGAGCAGCCTCCCTTAGAAGAGAGATGGAAACATCTTGCAATCATAGGGACCCAAAGACAGGTGTGGGGTTCTGTGGGCCTCGAGCTCAGTTTCCCTTGGAAAGTAGTTGGGTCCTCTCCTCCAGGAAGCCCTCCCAGCCTCCCTCAGATGGGTCAGGCTCTTGCTCTGGGTTCTTCCCTCACCCCACCCCCATCCCCTTCAGTCTTTACAGCATCCTTAGTGATGACTGTTTGTACAATATTTGTCTTGCCCACTGGAATGTCAACTCCTGGAGGATAAGCACCGGACTTGGCCTGGCACAGGCTGCCGGCACAGAGGCTGATACTTAGTCAACAGTGTTTATTGAGCATCTACTACTTGCCAGGTTCTGGTGTAGGCTGTGGGGATACAGGAGGAACAAGACTGACAAATGCCTGTCTTCAGGGCTGACTGTAACACCCAGGGCCTGTTTGTTGAGTCGCTATTTGGATTTGCATAGATGGGAAAGGTGGGCTGGGGAGAAGATTCTCCCAGGTTCTGTTTTCTCCCCTTCCCTAAATCCCCCAGCTCTACACCAACTCTCAAGTCTTGACTTCTGCATCTTTTTATCCACAGCTTTTCTCCAGGACCTTTTGCTATCTGATAATCCATTTCTGTCCGGCTGCATCCTAAGCCAAGTCATTCTCCAACTGAGGGACCCTCAGTGGCTCCCACTTGCCTCAAAGAGAAAGCTTAGCTCCTTGGACACACCCTACTTTGCTCTCTGTAGCTCACCGGGCTGGATGTTTTTTCCTGACTGCCTTCTCACCCAGCTAGAAAGGGGCAGAGCCTTTGGGGCCCTTGTCCCACATTCTGCCTCCGGGGGCCAGGTGGGCAAAGGGTCCTGGCACGTGAGGGAAGAGGGCGGCCCCGGCTCAGCTCCACCCAGCTGTATCCCCCACCACGTCCTTTTTTGTCTGGATTTTGACATTTAATCTCCTGACCCTGTGTGCTGCTGGTTCAGTGTGAGACAGTGCTGCGAGGGCCAGAAGGCAAGGCCGGAGAGCGACAGCTGACCGCCTGCGCTGGACTCAGCCAGGCTGCCCCGCGCTCGCCGAGCGCCCGGGGAGACAGTCATTGTGTGTATTTCACAGAAAACCATTCTGTGCAAGCAGCTTAAGTGTCCCTGTTTTACAGATGTAGGAACTTAGGTTCAGTAGGAACTTGTTCAGAAACAAGGTCACGTGCCTGAAAAGAGCCAGAGGGAAGGCCAATGACCTGCTGAGTCCTACACTCTTGAGTCCATAGTGCTGCCCCTCCAGAGGGGAGCAGCCCCGTCTCCCGAGGTGGCACCCTTGGGTTTGAGCTGTGGATGTGTGGGGCTATTTAATGAGATTGTGTGTGTATCACACGATGGCCTTCACTGATAGCTTCTTTCCAAAAGTCCCTGGGACACTGGCCCCACCCAAGAGGCTGCCTTTTGCCCTGTCATTAGGGTCACCTATTATTGTGCCCTGGGTTTCTGTGTGAGGCCAGAGGCTAGGTCACAGAGAGCTGAGCGGCAGGTGCCCCTTGAGAGCTAGGTGTGTGCCCTTGGCCTTGCCTCAAGGCTGAGTGTCAAGGGCCACTTGAAATTATACTTAGCTGGCTGTGTTTATTTAACAAGCAGTGGTCTCGCACTTCCTGTGACCTTGAGCCAAGTGCTCTACAAATATTCCTAAAAGCTTGTAACAACGCTTAGGAGGTGGACACAGTTATTATCCTCGTTTTATAGCTGAGGAAACTGAGTCACAGGGAGGTTAAATGACTTGCCCAAGATCACACAGCCAACAAGCGACATGGTCAGGTTCTGAACTCAGGCAGCCTGTACCCTCAGTCACCATGCTGTACTGCTGGCACAGCAGAGAGACATTTGCCTTTTCTCTCCCTCTCTCCTTTCCTCCCTCCCTCTTTTCCCTCCCTTCCTCTCTCTCTAAAATCAGTTTTTTAAAAAGTTTTTTTTAAAAAGAGAAAACAGCTCTGGCCGGTTAACAGCTCAGTGGTTAGAGCATCGGCTTACGGACCCGAGAATCCTGGGTTCGGTTCCCGCTAAGGGCACGTACCTCGGTTGCGGTTTGTCCCCGGCCCTGGTTGGGGTTGTGTGGGTGGCAACCACTTGATGTGTCTCTCTCACATCGATGTTTCTCTCTCTCTTCCTCCCACCCTCCCTCCTGCTCTATCTGAAGATAAATGCAAAAGTGTCCTCGGATGAGGATAAAAATAAGTAAAATAAAAGGTAAGCTGAGAAATAAAAACATGCAGCTCGGCTGGTGTAGCTCATTGATTGAGCACCACGCACCTAGAGGTCACCGGTTTGATTCCCGGTCAGGGTACATGCCCGGGTTGTGGGCCAAATCCCCAGTGAGGGGCATGCAGGAGGCGACCAATCAGTGTTCTCTCTCATGGATGTTTCTATCTCTCTCTCCCTCTCCCTTCCTCTCTCTAAAATCAATAAAGAAAAACAAATGTATATTAAAAAATAAATAAAAGCCTACATTCACACAAAAATTTGTACTCAAATGTTCACAGCAGCTTTATTCACAATCACCCACAACTAGAAACAACACAAATGTCCATCAACTGAACAGATAAAAACAAAATGTGATATATCCAGACAGTGGAATATTATTTGGCCATGGAAAGGAATCAAGTACTGACATGCTAAAGTGTGGATGAACCTTGAAAACACTATGCTGAATTAAATAAACCAGTCACAGAAGGCCACGTGTTTACATGAAATGTCCAGAATAGGGCAATTTATAGGGACAGAAAGTACACTAGTAATTGCTAGGGGCTGAGGGGAGGGGGAAACATAGTTTAATGGATACAGCAATTTCTGTGGTGGATTATAAAAATGTACTAGCCCTGGCTGGTGTTGCTTAGAGTGTCAGCAGACTGAAGGGTTGCAGGTTCCATTCCCGATCAAGGGCACATACCTGGGTTGCATATTCGTTCCTTGGCCCCAGTTGGGGCGTGTGCAGGAGGCAACCAATCAATGTATCACTCTCACACTGATGTTTCTCTCTCTGCCTCTCTCTCTCCCCCATCCCTTCCTTCTACTCTCTAAAAATCAATGGAAAAAATATCCCTGGGTGAGGATTAACAACAACAAAAAGTCCTAAAATTGATTATAGCAATAGATTTACAAATCTTGTGACTACAGGAAAAGCCACTGAATTGTACTTTTTTTTTTTTTAATCCTCACCCAAGGTCATTTTTCCATTTTTTTGTTCAGATAGAGTGGGAGAGAAAGAGAAACATTGAGGTGAAAGGGACACATCGAGTGGCTGCCTCCTGCACGACCCCAACCTAGGCCAGGGATGAATCGCAACCGAGGTACATGCCCTTGACTGGAATTGAACCTGGGACTTGGGCCGACACTCTACCGCTGAGCCAAACCAGCCAGGGCGATTTGCACACTTTTTTTTTTAACCTCACTCGAGGACATTTTTGCATTTATCTTCAGACAGAGCGGGAGAGAGAGAGGGATGAAGAGAGAGAGAGAAACATCAATGCGAGAGAGACACATCGACTGGTCACCACCCACATGACCCCAACCAGGGCCGGGGACAAACTGCAACCGAGGTATATACCCTTAGCAAGAACTGAACCCGGGCCTCTCTGGACCACAGGCTGACTGACGCTCTAACGGCTGAGCCAAACTGGCCAGGGCTGAATTGCACACTTTTAATGGATGAATGGGAATTATATCTCAATAAGCCTAGGCTGAAAAATAAGACAGGTTAGGCTTTATAGTAAAGTAAGGGAAAGTATGTTACTGTGTAGAAAAAGTTGAAGACAACCGTTACAGTTCAAATTTTTTAAAAGTTAATTTTGTGACAGGTTTTTTAAAAATTTCATTTTAGAGAATTATTTTCCTTCCAACATTTGATAATGAAAAATTTCAAACGTATACATATGAGTTGTAAGAACGCTCCCCCCACCCGCGACTACCCTTGACCGTGGGTCACATTTGCTTCATCGCTTTTTCTCTTTTTCTTTTTAGAAGGTTGGTATATCTCTTTTAAGAAGATTTTTAAAAATGTGTATTTAGCATTAGAGCTGAGGGTGTGTGTGGATGGAGCTTCATCGCTTTTTCTTTTTTGAATTTTTTGTTTCCTTTTCTTTATTGATTTGAGAGAGAGAGGAAGGGAGTGGGAGACAGAGATAGAAACATCGATGAGAGAGAACATCGACTGGCCGCCTCCTGCATGCCCCCCACTGGGGATCAGGCCCACAACCTGGGCATGTGTCCTGACCAGGAATCAAACCAGTGACCTCTTGATGCATGAGTCAACCCTCTACCACTGAGCCACACCGGCCAGGCTCATTGCTTTTTCTATACCTTTTTTTGATTTTTGCTAAAAAAAAACAAAAAAAAAAACCATTTGGGAGTACGTTGTAGACATGACATTTCAACCCTGTGTATTCTAAGAAAAAAGAATACTGCATAACCATAATTTATTTATAACATCTAAAAATATTAACAGTAATTTCATAATAATATGTAACATAGTCTAGACTCAAATGTCCCTAGTTTTCTCAAAATATCTTTTCTGTTTGCTCGTTTTGGAATCAGAACTTCTAGAAGGCTCGAGCATGGTGTTTCCCCACGGGGCCCCCTCAGTGACGGCCCACCCCACCTGGAGGTGTCTGGGTTCTCTCCCCAATACCTACCTCTCTCTCTGCTCTCTCCTCAGGAGCCCAGAATGGGCCAGTTGGCATGCCGCCCGAGGTGCGGGGCCGCCTGGGGGACTCGGTGCAGCTGCCGTGCTACCTACAGTCACATGGGCCTAAAGGCAACATCTCACAGGTGACGTGGCAACGCCTGGACCCGTCCGGGGCCATCCAGAGTGTGGCCGCCTTTCACCCTTCACATGGTCTCAGCTTCCCCAGCTCGCAGTATGGCAAGGAGCGGCTGTCCTTCGTCACACTGGGGCAGAACCCTGGGGCCATGCGGGACGCCACGCTGGCCCTCCAGGGGCTGAGAGTGGAGGATGAGGGCAACTACTCCTGCGAGTTTGCCACCTTCCCCCAGGGCACCAGTCGTGGGGTGACCTGGCTCAGAATCATAGGTGAGTGGGGGGGCAGGGAGGTGGGAGGGGCACGGTGTGGGAGAGCCGCCTGGCTGGTCTACTTCTCTCTCCTCAGTCTTCAGTCAACTGGCAGATGGTCATTAAGCAAATACTATTTGCCAGGCGTTGTTCTGCCAGTTGGGAATACAGCAGGCCACAGGGCGCTCAACAGACATTGAGTACCTACTGTGTGCCGGGAAGTATTCTAGGTGCTAGGGATAAAGCAATGATAGGCAGAGTTCCCTGTCCTCCTGGAACTTATACTCCAATAAGGGGCTGCCAGAGAGTAAATACAAATAAGAAAAAGAAGAGTAAGTCGGATGGTTATAGGTGCTATGGAAGTTGTGGGGGAGCAGGTTACAGTTTTAGCTAGGGTGGTCTGGTGATACTTGAATGAGGTAAAGGAGCCCTGCAGGTCTGTCTAAGAGAAGAGAGTTCAGGCAGAGGGAATAACAAGAGCAAAGGCCCTGAGGCAGGGTGCATCTGGACAGTCTGCGGAAGAGCAAAGAAGTCTGTGTGGCTGGAGATGCATGAATCGGGGAAGGAGGGAGGGACAAGGTTAAGGAGATGATGAATCATGGATGGCCTCATAGACCACGTGAAGACTTTGGCTTTAGATCTAGGAGAGCAAGAGCTATGGAAAATTCTGAGCACAGAAAGGTGTGATCTCCCTTGGATTTTCCCAGACGTCTTCTGGTTGCATGTGGGGGGCAAAGGGTGAAGCTGGGAGACCTCATAGGAGGTGACTGCATAAGTCTAGGTCAGAGGTGATGACCACTAAACCAAGGTAGAAGCAGTGGAGGGGGTTGAGAAATATTTTAGAGGTAAAGCCAGAGGATGATTTTTTCTTTAAAAATTTTTTTTGTTTCTTTATTGATGTTAGAGAGAGGAAGGGAGAGGGAGAGAGAGAGAAACATCAATGAGAGAGAACATCGATTGGCCTCCTCATGCATGCCCCCACTGGGATCAGGCCCACAACCTGGGCATGTGTCCTGACTGGGAATCGAACCGGTGACCTCTTGGTGCATGGGTTGATGCTCAACCACTGAGCCACACCAGCCGGGCCCCAATGGCCTTATTTAGATAGAATGTGCAGGGAAAGCCTCTCAGCCATGTCCTGAAGTAGAAGGCCACCCATGGGCGTGCAGCCAAGAGCAGAGGAATGGATGTGCAAGCAGGGGAACAGCATGTGCAAAAGCCGGGACATGAGAGTGAGTTTGGCATGTTCCCGGAACAGAAAGGGAACTGGGAGGCTGACAGCAAGTGCCTGAGTGACCCTGAACAAAGCAGTGACCCTGAACAAGCAAGTGCCTGAGTGACCCTGAACAAAGCTGTGACCCTGAACAAAACAGGGCCGGACTGCATGGGCCTCATAGGCCAAGGCAAGGAGGCTGGACTTCATCCAGAGCCATCGGAGGGGTTTAGACCACAAAAGCACCCTGATCACATTGCTGACTTCATTAGAAGATAAAATTGGGGGCATTAAAGGGGGAGGCAAAGGTAGATGGAAGCTAGGAGACCAGACTGGGGAAGGCATTGGCTTGGAAGGGGAGACGCGGTGGAGGCGGGTAGACAGAAGTGCGTGGAATAGAGGCTCCTTGTGGGAGATAGTAGGCGCTTGTCCCTGGATTGAGGGGGGAGGATAGGAAGGACTAGCAGGCTTCTGGCTCCATCAGGAGGGTGACTGGCACAGCTACTTCGTGAGCGGAATGGGGCAGAATCAGGGGAGGCCTTTTTTTTTTTACAAAGGATGCCAATTCTTGCTAAATCTTGGCATTCCCCTGGAATCTTACCTTTTCCTAGCAACTTCCCAGAAGCCATGTCACCCTGGACACTGTATTTTCCCCTCTCAGCCCCAGAGCCCTACTTCGTACAGTTCCCGGGTAAACACTTCTCTTTTTGAGAAGCTGGAACCACAGTTGTTTCGCGTAATTCAAAGCACAGCCCTTTTCTCCCTGCCCTTCGCAAAGGTTTCCGTTGTGTAATCATTTGTTCTGTGCAGGAGATACCTAGAGGGCACCTGCTGGGGCAGGAATGCAGGACAGCCAAGCCTCTGCTTTCTTTTTTTTTTTAATATGTTTTTATTGATTTTTTTTTTAGAGAGAGGAAAAGGGAGAGAGAGATGGAAACATCCATGTGAGAGAGACACATCGATCAGCTGCCTCCTGCATGCCCCCCACTGGGGATCGAGCCTGCAACCCAGGCATGTGCCCTGACCGGGAATCCAACCGGGACCTCTCAGTCCATGGGAGGACGCTCCATCCACTGAGCCACACCGGCCGGGTGAGCCTCTTTCTTGGAGGGAACAGGTGATGCGAGTGATTGCCACTATCACGGGAGAGCCAGGTGTCTGGAAAGTTCCCTTGAGGAAGTGAGGTTGGGATCTGGAGAAGGAGGAAGAGCACGACAAGGAGAAAGGAATCCAGAACATTCCAGGCATAGGGTTGCAGCACGTAGGAGCGGGGCGGGCGTGGGGGGCTGGAGTTCCCGGAGCTGTCAGAGGACAGATGGGAGGGTGATCAGGGGAGGTGAGAGGCCCATTGGAGGCTCTGTGGTGGTCAGCGGAGAAAGGGGGAGAAGAGGAAAGGAGGGGAAGGAAGGCTATGCCGTGTTACGAAGCTGGCCGGTGTGGCTCAGTGGTTGAGCGTCGAGCCATGCACCGAGAGGTCGCTGTTTCGATTCCTGGTCAGGACACATGCCCAGGTTGTGGGCTGATCCCCAGTGGGGGGCGTGCGGGAGGCGGCCAGTCAATGTTCTCTCTCATCGATATTTCTCTCTCTCTCTCTCCCTCTCATTTCCTTCTCTCTAAAAATCAATAAAGGGGAAAAAAAATTTTTTTTAAAGAAGCTCAGGAAATACCCAAATGGAGAGGTCCAGAAAGCAACTAGAGATGTGAATCAGAACTCGGGACAGTCTGATTATGGATACACAGCCATAACTATTGGTTGGCATTGTTCCTCAGGGAGGTTTTTAAATAATTTTTCTTTATTGATTTTAGAGAGAGAGTAAGGGAGAGGGATACAAACATCGATGAGAGAGAACATCGATTGATCGCCTCCTGCATGCCCCCCACTGGGGATGGGCCCACAACCTGGGCATGTGCCCTGACCGGGAATTGAACCGGTGACCTCTTGGTGTGTGGGTCAGTGCTCAACCACTGAGCCACACTGGCCGGGCATCAGGGAGGTTTTTATTCCTCCTAATATTTTTCCATGTTTTCCAAGAGGATGGGTGAAAGGGGCAAAAAAAAGTTCCGAGCTTCAGGTTTCTTCTTGCCTCATCCCACTTCTGCCAACACAGTCTCACGTTGGTCACGGGAGAAGTAGGCCTTTCAGCTGGACTTCTGAACCACATTATTCTGCTCTGCTTTGCTTTTTAAATCCAGCCTCTTCCAGGCTCTTGGACACTCCCTGCTTTTCTAGCAGAGCAGAAAAGATGATAATGGCTGTGTAATATAATGGCTAGCGCTTAGGTAGAACAGTGAGTTCAGTTTATTTGGATATCAATTCATTTAGTCCACACAACAATTCTATGGAGTGGGTACTTTTGTTATCCCCACTTTATAAAAGAGGAAAATGAGGTACGGAGTTGGGAAATTACTTGTGCCCAAAGCCACAAAGTCGCTAAGCAGCAGAGCTGGGATGTGAACCCCGGCATTAGGGGCTCCACTGCTTGGCTCCGCTGCTGATGTGTTTGTTGAATGACTGCAGGTGAGCAGTGACCACTCCTTTTGTTCTCCTCCCAGCCGAGCCTGAGAACCACGCGGAAACACAGGAGGTCACACTCGGCTCGGATTATGTGGCTGTGGCTCGCTGTGTCTCCTCAAGGGGCCGCCCACCCGCCAAAATCTCCTGGTTATCGCCCCTGAATGGGGAGGCCAAAGAGACCGAGGTGCCTGATTCCCCGCCCGGCACAGTCACTGTCACCAGTCGCTACACTTTGGTGCCCTCGAGCCAAGCAGATGGTGTCAAGATCACCTGCAAAGTGGAGCACGAGGCCTTGGAGGAGCCCGCCCTGCTGCCTGTGACCCTCTCTGTGCACTGTGAGTGCCTCGGGGTTGACTGCACCTCTCCTGCTGTCTACACTGGCTTCCCTAGGGCACTGTCTACACTGTCTCTCAGTGTTGTCTTCCTTGGCCTGGGCCTCGCTCTGCACTGCCTGCCTGCCCCTTGTCAGTACTTCTACACCGGCCCCCCAGGCGACATCCGCACACTACCCCCCTCACTGTCTATATCAGCCACTCTGAGCCTACACCGCCTAACCTAACGCTGTCTACACACACACCCCCATTCACACTGTTTCTATTGACTCTCCTGGGGTCTCTACACCAACCTCTGCCTCCCAAAATGATTCCCATCAGCCCCACTGGGCCCTCTCAGTACTGACCCCTTCCAGTACATTCTTTGCCAGCTCTTCCCAACACTGCGCACACCGACACCCCAATACTACCCTAGAGGTTCCCCAGCACTCTTCCCACTGGACCCATCTTTTGGTCACCCTCCAAATACACCCCATTCTGCAACACTGTTTACTACTCCCCGGGCAGTGTGTCTGTTAAACCAAGGTTTAGTCCCCTTATTCACTCCGCGGGTGGAAATAGCACATGTTATCTATAGGGGCTCCCTCAGGTACTGCCTGTGCTGAAAAATCTTTCTCAAGTTGATCCAAGCAGTGGCCCTGGACAGTGTTCCTATATGGCCCAGGTGGGTTTGCCCCTGACAGCTTCCATGGGTTCACCTTCTGCCGACCATTCCGTTTCTATAGGATTCCATCCATCTGCTTACCTGTTACCCCCTTTGGGATTCTCCCATCTCTGAGCCAATCCCCCATTTCCTCCAGACCCCCCCGAGGTCTCCATCTCTGGCTATGATGACAACTGGTACCTCGGCCGTAGCGAGACTACCCTGAACTGTGATGTCCGCAGCAACCCGAAGCCCACAAGCTATACCTGGAGCACGTGAGTCTGCGTGGACCTGGATTACTGGGTCTGTGGGAGGAGGGGCTGGAGGCCTGAACCGCGAGTCCTCCGAAAGGAGGGAGCTGGCAGTGTGGGGTCTCCAGAAGTAAGTTTTACGTCCCTGGAGCTTGGCTCCTGAGGCCTGTGCTCCTCTGTGGACCCTGCTGTCCCCTTCATGTGACCTCCACATCCTCCAGGACTTCAGGCACCTTACCAGCCTCGGCAAAAGCCCAGGGCCCCCAGCTGATGATTCACTCAGTGGACAGGCTGGTCAACACCACCTTCATCTGCTCCGTCGACAACGCTGTGGGCAGAGGCCGTGCTGAGCAGGTGGTCCTCGTGCGAGGTGAGCGGGTCTTGGGGGCAGCATGTAATGACCGGGTCTGCACCCCAGGTGTTCCTCTTTGGCTCTGGGGCTGCGTTGGGGAAGGCTGTGCCGCCGGCTGGGGCAGGGATCCAGACCCGCCTCGCTGTTGGAAGAGGAGAGCAGTATGGCTTTTCTCTCTGGCCCCCAGGGGGGCCTGGATTGGGGTGCCAGGGTAGGTGTTGGCAGAGGAGTTTAGGGGGTTGAGGCCTGTGCTGGGAGCTGCCTGGGAAGAGTCCTCAGGAAGAGTCGCAGTGATGGCGCCCGGGCTTCAGCCAGGGAGACAGGCGCATGGGATCCACACCGAACTAACAGTTGGAGAGAGGCAAGTCGGGTAGCGGGACAGACACAGAAACAAACACCAGCGCCTTACGGCCAGTGCTGGTTGTTGCCATCCGGAGCCCCTTCCTGTGTCCGTTGGACCGTTTGTTTCTGGAGTTGGTACTTGGGAGACGGTGACTGATGGTGGTGAAATGGGTCAGTGGGTGGAAGGTTCTCCGAGTCCCCTTGATGTGCACTCAGAATCACAGACCCCAAGATATGGCCAGAGAGGGAGAGAACGAAGGCAAACTGCGCCTGTGCACAGCTGATGGAGGTGGAGTTGGGATCACAGCTGGACACCCACACACCTAGAGGGAGGCAGGGACGCACCCTGTGACTCAGACACAGACGGACCCCACGGCTGGGAGCAGAGTCCCCTCACGTCAGAGCCACGGCCGCTGGACCCACATCTACAGATACACCCTGTGCTTCGAGATGCACTGGAACCAAAACAGACTCACCCATAAAGTAACCCACATACTGCATTGTCACCCCGACACCCCCCAAGCAGGCAGGGGCACCAGCCGGGACACTGAGCCAAACCAGATAACACCCAGCCAGAGCCCGAGAGACGCCACATGTGCCTGGGAAGACCCAATCGGAAACGCGCTCCCAGCATGACTCTGTGACACCCTATGCAAACACACAGCTCGGGAACAGTGGCCTGGCCCCCTCAGAAACATGACCACAGACAGACGTGAAGACAGACAAGAAACAGTCGGAAGCAGACCCCCTTACTGGGACTGTCTTATACCAAACACAACATCTAGAAAGACGCCCAAATGACAACAGGCCCCTCTTCAGGAATACAGACACTCGCCAGGGAGATGTGACGGACCCACTCAGAAACGGTCACACACAACCACTCAGACAACTGGCCACACAAACACGCACACCTGAAGGGAGACAGGCGGCAGACGTGCCGGGGGAGGGGAAGGGATTTGGGGAATGGACAACTCGCACACGATGACATCATCACTCATAGATATTGAGAAACGACAGCCTCGGGGTGCGCACCTTTAGAAATTCCAGAAACCTCGTTATAGAGAGTCTCTTTCAACAAATTGTCATCTGATTACTATTTGGTGAGGTTTCCTCTTGACCAGACTTTCTCCTTGATGACCGGAACACAAGACACAGTCCCCGCCCTTGAAGGCACACCCAGAGGTCAGCTCCACCCATTCAGCAAGGCACCCAACTGGAAATACACCCTGAACCTCTACCTCAGAAACACACTCAAGAAACAGGTCCCCACCCACACTGAAAACATCCCCCCCCAAAACCCACAGACAATCCCCAGGGCTGGCCACCACGGGGAACACCCCGGTTCCAGAGTCCAGCCCTGGCCGGTGTTCACGCGGTGAAACACATTCTCAGAGGCCTGGCAGGACCTGGGGCTGGGGGATGTACACACAGTCACAGCCCCAGAGAAAGACTGGAAAGATGCCCCGTCCCCCTGACTATCCCAAAGGTAACCATAGGCCCACATGCAGTCACAAACATGGTAAAACGCAGCTACAGGAAGATGCCAACAGAAACAGGGACAGCAGTCCAGACCCCAGCGGTGAGATTGCCGATGGGTAGCTTGGCCCACAGCGAAAACTCCCGCCCCTGCTGTCTCTCCCCGAGGGTTTCAGGGACACACCACATTCCCCCAGCACGCAGACCCAGACATGCTGTCATCTGCTTGGTTTGGGGTTCACGCCAGTGCAAACGTGGTACACAGGCCACACCACAGGCTAGACGTCACTTCAGGGAGACTGGAGAACTTTCAGCCTGTGGGCATGTGAACACTCACCTGCCGTCACGCAAGCTCCAGAAACACGTTCCAATGCGCTCAAGCCGGTTTCTAGCCACTATGGAGGAAGGGCCCCCACCTAGTGTCCAGGGAGAGACATTTCTCCCCAAAAAAGGTTCACAAAATAGTACTTACCCCTCCTATTTGAGGTACACTCTTTCTAGTTGTTTTTTTTACTGCTGCTTGCGAGTCACTAAACTGATTTGACAGCCTGCTGAGTTGTGACACCGTTTTGAAAACACCCAGAAACATGTCCTCAGGGCCTGAGGCTGCCCCTCCTGTGTGCAGAGGTGGGCGGGGGTCTGTCAAGTGGCCCTTGCATGCAGGGGGTGGGGAAGGGAGAGTGGAATGTGGTTCCCACTGCATCTTGTCTGTCCCTGGTGTGGGGCCCAGCCCTCCCTGGCTTCCTTTTCACCTCCACCCGCCCCCCAGCCTCCCCACCACAGCTCCACTGCAGGGAGCACTAGGGGGCGAAGGGACAGAAGGCTTCGTGAGCCCCATTTTCCACACTGGGGATGGGTGGCCCTGACAGGAGGCAGGCTACCCCCAGACCAGGTGCTCCCAGCGCTCCAAGGGAGGATCCTCCGGAGGCCCCTGGTCCTCTCGGGTCCTGCTCTCAAGTGCAAAGAGCTTTGGAGTCAGCCTCCTGCTCACACCCATCTCCCTCTGGCTAGCTGGATCCACCCCAAGATTCCGTGACCCTGACCTCATTGCTCTCATCCTCATGGGGTCGCAAACTCACATGCCTGCTGGGTCCTGGCAAGTGACCTGGTGGCCAGGTGTGGAACTCTGTTCCCTTCCTGGTCACCAGCCTTCACTCAGCCGCAGCCCATCACTAGGCAGAGGACAGGACGAGACCTTGATGTTGCCAGATTTGTTTTTTGTTTTTCCTCCTAAATGGAATCTGGAATTTTCGGGGAAATCACCTGGTTTCTGAAATGTTGGCTAGCGGGTGTAAGGAATCTTCTGGGGGCCGCCAGCTGGCAACCCCTCAGTGTGCAGAGCGCCCAGCCTGTAGTGAAGACTGAATGAGTTCTCCCTGCCCCTCCCCCGCCATTGTGCCTAGTCAGAGTCCTCTCCCTGATTCCTGTCACTGCCCCGCTATGTCCTCCCAGATGTATCCTCTTGACCTCGTGTCTCCCTTTCTCTCTCTCTCACCCCTTCTTCTCTCTCCTCAGACACCCCCCGGGCCTCTCCCCAAGACAAGGGTCCAATGGTATGGGGGGCCGTGGGGGGGACACTGCTGGTGCTGCTGCTTCTGGCTGGGGGGTCCTTGGCCTTCATCCTGCTGAGGGTGAGGAGGAGGAAGAGCCCTGGAGGAGGAGCAGGAGAAGAAGGACGAGACAGCGGCCGAGGAGCCTATGATCAGAAAACTCAAGTGTTTGAGAATGGGGGCCCCGTCTTCTGGACCACGACAGCCCCCGGTCCCCTGAGGCCGGATGGCAAGGACACGGAGGACTACGAGGGGGAGGAGGAGAAGGCAGAGAAAGGCCTCATGTTGCCTCCATCCCCGGCACTTGAGGACGACATGGAGTCCCAGCTGGACGGCTCCCTCATCTCCCGGCGGGCGGTTTATGTGTGACCCCCGAGACAGACAGAAAGACAGAGACAGAGCCTACCAGTGCCAGCCAAGGGTTCCAGACTGGTTGGACTCGTTTGTCTGGGTGACACTGGAGCTCAAATGCTACCTCCCACTTTCCTGGGATTCAGAGGGAGGTGGAATATCACACACTGGACTTATGTCTACAGGGCTGCGTGGGGGAGGGGAAGGAGGACCCCCAGAGAACCCCCCCAGAGACTTGTTTCTGGCTCTGGCCTGCCCCAGCCCCTGCCCTGTGACACTCAGGAGTTAATAAACACATTGGAGGAAAACATCGGGGGTGTCTTGTAATACACTGGACCCCCTTCTTGGGGGGGTAGGAAAGCTGAACTGGGCTCCAGGGAGTGGGAGCCTGGTGGGGCTAGACTTGGGGAGGCTGGGGGGCTCCTACCATTTGGGTCCTTGAAGGACACTGGATGCTGAGACCAAGGCTAGTGGGACTGGGATCTGGGCTTAGAGGCTGGAGTGCTTGGACTCGGACTGAGGCCGCCTTCCCGGATTCAGTGGCCTGACTTCGAGAGCCAGGCTGGGATCCTGGACGCCAGGGCCCTTGCAGGGGGTGTTGCAGTCTGATTCTGTGGGAGCAGCTCACACCCAACCTGCCCAAGGTTGCTTGGGAGGGAGGACTGCCCTGCATTCTCCTCGCCCCAGGCTGCAGGGCAGGTGGGAATATGAGCAACCAGGAAAGTCCCACCTCTCCACGCCATGAAGTGGCCTTTCCCAGCCTCCTTCCTCTTCCTTTTTTCCTGGGGGCTCAGCTAGAGGGAATTTTCAGTGATTCAGAGGCAGGGGCTGAAGTTCTGTATCCCCCCCTGATCCCAGCAACCAGAGCATCTCTCTACCCCAAGCTGAGAGATGGGGAAGTGGGAGGGGCAGGGGTAAATCCCAGCCCCATGGCCCTGCTGTGGGCTTGGTCTCTGCTCCTGAGGCTGGCACGAAACTCAGTAGGCTGAGCTCCACTGCCCAGCCTGAGAGGGCTTGATGAGTTTACTTCTTCTACCAGTTTTGACTTCCACTTAACTGCTGGGGACTCACCAGTGACCCAGGCAGACCTGGCCCTCTCCTCCCAGACATGCAGTCAGTAAGGAGGGCTGGAATAACAGTAATTTTAGGGTGGCTGGGTGTGGACTGAGCAGAAATTACTCTGTTGTTCTGCGCTCAAGCCCTCCGTAGAAGGCCAGGCCGTGGAACAGGAAGTGTGGAAATCGGACAGTCCAGGGATCCAGACGTGGTTCTTCTGGGGGACTTGATCTCATCTGCAAGAGTGGGCTTCATGGAAGGGTGAAGCCTGTGGGCGGGGCTTGTGCACACGTTATTTCCTCTGGTTGTTTATTGTCTGTACCACCCCCTGCAACTCCCAGTCCCTTCTCCCCACCATGGGAAGGTAGTGTCAAGAGGGCAGGGCGTGAATTTTGTCAGTCTGGCATACAGTAGGTCCTGAGTGTCCATGCCCGCCCCTCCTTACACATCTAGCAAAACCAACCTGCCTGCCCCTTGGAACTCACAGCCTAGTGTGGAAATTGGCAAATATCCAAGTAATTGCTCCAATAACAACTTTAGGAAGTGCAGACTCTACACAGGAGAGGCGCAGGGGGCCATGCACATCTCTGAAGTCATTTCCTGTTGGCTTGGAGAAGCTCTGCTCCTCTGCCCAGGATGACCCCGTTCCTGTAATGACAGGTTATGATCCCAATCCCAGAATGCCCCAATTCTCTGCCTTTTAGCGCTACTTCCCTCCCACCACTTCCCTTCCCTCATCTCCCGTGCACCCCCTCGTCACTCTGCCCCTTCCTTAAAAAGGACACAAAGCTTTCTCTTCAGGGCCTTTGCACTGGCTGTCATCTCTGCCCAGAATGTTCTCATTCTCATGGCTCAACCCCTACAGCGACTTCAGGTCTTTGCTCTAATAACACCTTGCAGTAAGACTCTCCGACTACCTGCTCTGTCACTTCCTGTCACCTTCTGCACTATGTAGGTTTTGTTTGTTTAAAGATTTATTTTGTTGCCCAGCCGGTGTGGCTCAGCAGTTGAGTGTTGACCTGTGCACCAGGAGGTTGCCAGTTCAATTCTCGGTCAGGGCACATGCCCAGGTTGCAGGCCTGATCCCCAGTAGGGGGCATGCAGGAGGCGGCCAATCGATGTTCTCTCTCATCAATGTTTCTATCTCTCCTTCTCCCTTCCTCTCTCTCTAAAATCAATAAAGGAAAAAAAAATTTTTTAAAGATTTTTTTATTGACTTTTAGAGAAAGAGGAAGGGAGAGGGAGAGAGAAACGTCTTTGTGAGAGCCAAACATCAAATTGGCTGTCTCCTGCACGCCCCTTACTGGGGATTGAGCCTGCAACCTTTCGGTGTGTGGGAGGACACCCGACCCACTGAGCCGCACCAGCCAGGCCCGCTGTGTAGTTTTATCCTACACTACTTACTGCCACCTGGCAGATTAGCTATGACTGTTGTTTCTGTACTACTGGTTTCCCTGTCCAATTAGAACGTAAGTTCCATGGGAGTAGGGGCTTTTTTATGTTTTGTCCACCACTCCATCCCACAAAAAATGCTCAGTAAGGGTAAGCTGAATGAAAGACTATCCCCTGCCATTGAGGTAGGCAGGTGGGTGATGACTTGGGGAAGAGGGCTGGGAGTAAGGAGCTGTGGCTTCATCCTGGAGACCCCCTTACACTGTCCCTATTCTTGCAGAGTCCCCCAACACAGCAGGCGCAGGGGCCACAGGTGGCATCATCGGGGGCATCATCGCTGCCATCATTGCTACCGCTGTGGCCGCCACGGGCATCCTCATCTGCCGGCAGCAGCGGAAGGAACAGAGGTTGCAGGGGCCAGAGGAGGAAGATGAGTGAGTGATGGGCACTGAGCAGTGTGGGTGGGGGAGGGGTCCCAGAACTGGGGAGCCTGGGGTGGAGATGAAGGTAGAAGAAAATCATCTGTAATGGCTGTGTGAAACAGAGACACCCAAAATAACTATGACTTAAATAAGGTGGAGAGGAGAGTTTATTTCTGTTTCATACAGCATGGGTATGACAGCTCTGCTTTGTGAAATGATCAGAGCCCAGGCTCCTGCAATCTTGTTGCTCCACCATTGCTCACATTTCAAGATGATTCCCCACTCTTTTATCATTATCTACATACTTGACAACCAGACATGGCTATCCTGGCTTCAAAGCCCCCATTCCTGCCAGAGGGAAAAGGAAATAGAAATAGAGGGTATTCAGCTGCCCTTTAAGAGAACCCATTACTTCTTACTTCGATGGCCAGAATATGTCACATGGCTGTAGCAGCAGGGCAAGCTGGGAAATGTAGTCTTTATTATGGGTGGCCATGTGCCCAGCTAAAATCTTTATTAGTATGAGAAAGAAGGAGCCTGGTTATTGGGGAAAACTAGCCACACTTCTCTGTATAGAGCACTTGTTATGTGCCAGACTTGACAATATACATTTGACATATGTAACCTTAATGAAACCTCACATCCATTTATTGATTTAACAAGTATTCAAAAAGTACCCACTTAGGGCCAGGCCCTGGAGGTTAGGAATGCAGTGATGAGACAAACATTTAAAAAATGTCTACACACATAAATGTATCATGGAAACATAAATTCTTACAGAGACCTAGTGATAACCATTTCATGAAAGGGGAAACAGGTTCAGAGAGTTGAAATTACTTGCTGAAATTCATCCAGCAAGTCAGCGTTTTGGGGGCAAAATGGTTCTGAAATAACACTACTCAGTGTTGGGGGTGGTGTTATGGGAACACTTGTTAAAAATGCATATTCCTGGATTTACATCTAACCTACTAAATCAGAACTTTTACAGGAAAGGTTCACAATCTATATAACAAGTTCCCTAAGATATTCTAATACATAAGAAAGTGTATGAATCACTGTCTTAATCATCTAGTCATCACAAAACAACTTGTGATTGATTTCCTCTCCTGTGCCCAGCCCAGCGCTGAGACCCGATTGTCCTTGAGATGGCCCTGGCCCTGCCCTCCTGGGGTTCACAGTCTGGAAGAGACAGACCGTCCCCAGGCAGTGATGGTCCAGCATGACCAGAGATGAGCTAGGGGACCTGTTAGAGCTGTGAGAGGTCAGAGGGTCATGGAAGGCCTCCTGGAGGAGATATCTAAGTTGGGTATTGAAGGCAGAGTAAGCACCCATCATTATTATGTATACAGGATGCTCTGATCTGTGGGTATGTAGAATAAGGGAACTTAACATCATTTAGAGGATAGGAAAGCACTGCATTCATTTATTCTTTTAACAAATAGTTCTGAATTCTTTTTTTTTTTTTTTACTTTTTTTTTTTATCCTCACCCGAGGACATTTTTCCATTTTTTGCACAGATAGAGTGGGAGGGAGAGAGAGGAAGAGAGAGAGAGAGAGAGAAACATCGACGTGAAAGAGGCACATCGAGTGGCTGCCACCCGCACGACCAACCAGGGCCGGGGACAAACTGCAACCGAGGTACGTGCCCTTAGCGGGAACCGAACCCGGGTCTCTCCGGACCGCAGGCCGATGCTCTAACCGCTGAGCCAAACCGGCCAGGGCTAGTTCTGAATTCTTTATAGTGGATTCTGGGAAGCACTGTATTTAATAAAGATCTCATTTTCTCCCTCACATTGCTCACAGTTGGATGCAGTCATTGAATGACATCAGAAATAACATTTCAAATACAAACTCAGTCAAGTGCCCTGAGAGGGAGGTACACAGCTAGATGTGACCATATAACAGGAGATCCTGATCCTCCTAGAGAATCAGGGAGGCCTCCTGGAAGAAGAAGATTCATAGGATGTGTAGCAGTTGGTTGGGCAAGGGGAACAGGGGTGGTGGAAAGGGATGTCAGGCAGAGGGAAGAGCTTGTGCAGTGGCCCTAGGTAGGAGGACTTCTTGGGTCTGAGCCTCCACTTGACCTGCCTCCTACTCCACAGCCTGGAGGGACCTCCCTCATACAAGCCACCAGCCCCAAAGACAAAGTTGGAGGAGCCAGAGATGGTAAGCCCTTTGCCTGGAGCCCAGGCCGCCCCCACGTCCGTACCCACCTTTCCCCACTAAAGCCAGGGTTGGGAGGAGGGAGCTGAGGAAAGAGGCTGGCCGTGCGGGAGTCCTGATCTGACCCACCCCTCCTACTGCAGCCCTCCCAGCTCTTCACTCTGGGGGCCTCAGAGCACAGCCCACTCAAGACCCCCTACTTTGATGCTGGCGTCTCACGTGCTGAGCAGGTAGGAGCTCCGGTAAGATGGGGCTGGGTTCAGGATCTGAGTTTAAGGACCAGGGGCAGTTCCTGACATAAGAGGTTAAGGACTAAAGGTCACAACTTAAATTCAGGGCTATATCTCTAGTCAGAGCTTACCGCATCCTGATGTGTTTAGAATCCAGTGGGGGAGGTCATGACTGAAAAAATCCAAGGACATGAGGTTAGAGTTTTTTTTTTTTTTTTGGTACATGCCCCTAGTGGGAACCGAACCCAGGACTCTCTGGTCCACAGGCCGACACACCAACTGCTGAGCCAAACCGTCCAGGGCATGAGATTAGAGTTTAAAGTCACTCAGTCAATGAAGATTGGTTGAACATCTACATTTCCTAGATACTGTAGGACAAGACATATAGTCCCTTTAGCAGTCTACTGGAGGTCAGGGGTCAGATATTGAGGTTGTGACTAGACAAGGTTTAAGGGGCTATTTCAGGCTTAAGGTTAAGTTGTTGAGGTCAAGATTGAAGTCATGGGTCAGGAATCAAAAGACAAAGTAGAGACCCAGGATTGACAGGGTGAGGTCCATGCTCTGGGCTTTGAATTGGGGACAAACCATATGATTGTCCTAGTGCATTATTGACCCAGGTGACAAGGGGCAAGATTGGGTCTGGTTGGCATGGGGAGATGGTTTTGGAGTCAAGGGGCATACTGGAATTCTATGTCATGCTTAGGAGGTAACCTTGGGCTCCTGTTCCCTCCCTGCCTCCAGGATATGCCTCGGTACCATGAGCTGCCCACCTTGGAAGAGCGGTCGGGGCCCCTACTTCTGGGGCCCACGAACCTGGGACCCCCCATCCTGGTGCCTCCCGGGCCGCCTATTGTGGAGAGGGTTTCCCTGGACCTAGAGGACATGGATGATGATGAGGAAGACTACCTGGACAAGATCAACCCCATCTATGACGCCCTATCCTACTCTAGCCCCTCTGATTCCTACCAGGGCAAAGGCTTTGTCATGTCTCGGGCCATGTATGTGTGAGCTGTCATGGTCCTGGCCTCTTACCTCTCACTCTTTGATCCCTCAACTTTCTGCCAGGAATCTAGTATCTCCTGACTTCTGGTCAAGTCACTGTCAGTGAACACATGGATCTTATCTATGACTTCTACCTTGGTGGCTCCACTGTGACCTCTAATCCATGATCTCTGACCCAGAGAAACCAGCCATGACGATGCAAACCTGGGACCCTTATCTCATGAGTTGAAGTGGGGTGGTTGTTTCTGCACAATCTCTGACCCAAGGACTCCTAAGACTGTGACCTTAATTAACTCTCATGTTCCACCTTCTCCAATCTCCAATCAAATTCCAAAGAAGACCCTAGACCTTTAATGTATCCTCAGGCAGTAAACTCCCAATAGCTCTGCCAGGTTTGATGTTGGGGGGCAGGCACCCTGCTGCTCAGACCTGAGCCCTCCAGGCAGCAGAGCCCCCCTTACCCCCTCCCCACCCTGTCCGTTCCCCAATGTTGGGAGGGAGGGGAATCCCCAGCCCAAGGCATAGCTTCTCCATTTCCTTCCTGCAGGCAGGAGTCACAGGGTCCAGACCCTTCCCTGAGTCCCCACTTGCCCACTGTCTTCAGGGAATTAAGCCCCAGTCCAGGACTAGATAGGGTGAGCGTTGTGCAGAGTGTGCCTTGCTGGCCCCAGCCTTGAGAGAAGAATTTCCTGTTACGTTGAAGACTACTAAGTCCTTTTACTGCTGCCCAGTGGGATGGGACCCAAACATCTCCCTGGAGGGAGGAGGGGTCACCTGAGTTGGAGTGGGGAATCTGATACTGTTTTGTAAAAGGGCATTTCCTACAAATATGAATTTATACTTTGACCAGGTCTCAACTTGTGTTTTCTGTGGGATGTGAAGGGGAGGAGGGTAGAACATGATGGGTAATGAATAGGGGGCTCAAGGCTTAAGGGAATCAGTAGACAAAGTCAAGATGGGTTACAGACAAAAACAAAAGAGCCAAAAATATGAAAAACTAATCATTAAGTGAGGGGATAATGAGCAAAAATGCATAAACAAAAAGCCGTAATGATGGGTAATGGACAGAGGGAGGAATCCAGGACAGGATGGTTGATAAAAAGGAAACAGTGCAACAGTCTAATGGGTAATGGACAGAAATAGAAGAGAGATATAAATGATAGTGATTAAGTACGAGGGACTCAGGTTTAATGGATAAATGGCAAGTAAGAATAGGCCAAAGGCAAAATTATGAATAACGTATTAAGACCTCAGGACAGGATGGGTTAATAGATCTGGATGAATGAGCCAGAGGCAGAGATGAATAATGGAGAAATAGGGGCCACGGCATGCTGGGTAATAGACCCAAAACATGATGGTTAATTAAAGAAGGGCTAGAAGAACGACAGAAGTGAACAGGCAGAAATGTGCTAAAAGTAGTTTAGACAACGAAGCTGAAATGAATGGGGCTGGGGCATGCTGGGTAATGGGATAGGAATGAATGGGCCAAAGATAGAAGCCGCGGTGACGCAGGTAGACGGTGTGGGGAGCTGGGGACAGAGGCATGATGGGTAACGAGAGTGGTGAATCTATGGCAACTGTCGCGTTAAACGGGTAAAGGGCATTGTGGGTAACAAGAAGCAGGAGAGGGTTCACACAACCAGTTAGGATTCTCCCTAGGCACTGTGGGAAGGACCACCACTTCCGGTCTTCTGTCGCTAACTCGGGACTGGGGACTGCCCCTCTGCCGCGGTGCCTGGTGGGACGCGAGGCCTGACCTTGCTGCCTAGCAGCCTCTGCCGCGCAACCTACCTTTACCCGTGTCCCTCGACCCTGGCACGTTAGCCAATAAGCGCACCAGACTGATTATGTCACCAGGGTCGGGCCCTCTGCCTGCCGGAGCCAATCAGAATGCTGCAAGGACCAAAACCGGCCAATTATCTTGGCAACTTCGTCGCGGGGCAAAGTCGAAAGAGGGGCGCCCTCTGAAGAGGGGCGGAGGCGACGAGTTAGTGGGCGTTGCAAAGTACTCAGCAAAAACCAATGGTAGGTGAGCACTAGAACCCGCGGCGTAGCGAACCAATAGGCATGGATTCCACGAGTCAATGGTCAGGACGGGGAGGTGTGCCTTAAGCTGCTTGAGAATGGGAGCCAATAAAAAGGGACGCTCCAAAGAAGTGGGTGGAGTTTTCATCCATGGTTCCAATAGTAGGGCCAGGCCCTGAAACTGGTGGGCGGAACCTAGGACACGCTGAACCAATAGGTTAGACGGGGCGGGGCGACGGTGGTGGCGGCGGCAGCAGTGGGTTCGGTTGCGCGTGGCGCACGGGGTGGGAGCGGAGCCCAGGCCGGGAACAGGCGCTGCCGCTAGTGAGAACCGGGGCCAGGAACGGGGCGGGGGTTGGCTGGGGACTGGGTCCAGAGCGCGCGGGCCCTGACCTCCGCCCTCTGACCTTTTCCCTCGCAGGCGACCATGGGGAACGTGTTGGCCGCTAGCTCGCCGCCCGCAGGGCCACCGCCGCCGCCTGCGCCCGCCCTCGTGGGACTGCCGCCGCCTCCTCCCTCTCCTCCGGGCTTTACGCTGCCGCCGCTCGGGGGCGGCCTGGGTGCTGGGGCTGGTGCGGGTAGAGGTTCGGAACGGACCCCCGGGACTGCGGCCGCCAGCGCCGCAGGAACCGCGGATGATGGGGCCTGCGGCTGCCTACCCAACCCGGGCACGTTCGAGGAGTGCCACCGGAAGTGCAAGGGTGAGGGGCGAGGGACCTGGCGGGGGTGTGAAGGCCGGTATCTTGGGGAAACGGGTAGTACATTGAGGCAACCTTGGGAATTGGCACCGACTTTTGGAGTTATTTAACAGCGTTAGGAGTTGACGTTGGGATCGGATGGTGGAACGTTGTACTTGGGGCTTAGAACGATGGGATCAAATGGTGGAACCTCGTGTTGGAATGGCATAGGAGGAGAGAAAAGCTTTAGGGACCTCAGGAGCCCCAGGGATTAGCCAAGCCACCCTCCTCATATGATCAGCAAAGAAACTGAGGCCCAAGGTCACAGTGTCAGCAAGGGTCTTGTGGGTTTGGAACCCCCTAAGCTTCTGCATTCTGGCTTGGAATAATCGTGACAGCAAAAGTGGTGGAGATTTACTGAGTACTGTTCCAGGTTGCAGTGTAGGTTAACTCGTTAAATCTTTGCATTGTTTCTATGTGTTAAGGGTCGTCTTACAGATGACAAGTTTAACATAGATAAAGTAACTTACCTAAAGACACACAGTAGTAGGCGGTGGCACTGGGATTTAAACGCAGGCAAAGGCTCTGGTCTTGGCCCCATCCATTAGGCTATACTGCCATTTTGCTGGTTGGGATACTTTGTGGGATATTCTGCTGTGGGTCCTTGAAGAAGGGAAAGCTAGGATGAGAAGTGTGTGTATGTGTGTGTGAGACAGCATTTCTCTTCTTCAGAGCTGTTTCCTATTCAGATGGAAGGTGTGAAGCTCACAGTCAACAAAGGGTTGAGTAACCATTTCCAGGTGAGCCTTCCTGCCTCCAGAGGTCATCTCAGCCAGCCCCTGCATCTTTGCACACAACCTCCTTACCCCTCCCTAAAGAGCTGGAGTCCTTGGTAATTGAAAAGACTCAGAGACACAGTGCCAGGCTGAGTTCTCAGTGGGGGCCAGTGGTAGTATTTAGGAACCCAGAATCCAGAGATACCTATCCCCAAAAAACATCCAGGTAGAAGTGTAGAGCCAGATATGTAGTCCTACCCCCAGCACATTCTTTCTCTAAGTCTCTAATCTAGTCAGACCACACTTCCAAGTCTATACTCCCTGCCCAGCCCAGAGGTGCCTGTCTTTGCCTCCTGGATAGGGAAGCCCAATAGGCAAATATCCTCTGTCCCAGGCCGGAGAGGAGCTGTGCCGGAGGTGGGCTCAGCTGGGTTTATGGGGGTGTGGCCTACAGCCTCATCCCCACATCCCTCCTTCTTTCAGGTGAACCACACAGTAGCTCTCAGCACAATCGGGGAGTCCAACTACCACTTCGGGGTCACGTATGTGGGGACAAAGCAGCTGAGTCCCACAGAGGTGAGGTTCCTCTTGTCATTTCATTCATTGTGTCGTTCTTCTAACAGATAGGTAGCCAAACAGCAGAAGGCTTTGTCAGTAGCAGGCCAGAGCTGCTGAGGGTGTGTTGTGAGGGGGGACTTGGTCTCTCCAAGGTGCATTGGAACATTCCCTCCTTCTGAACCCCTGCTCTCTGCCCAGTCCTGTGCTGTGGGAGGCTTTGGATGCCAAACTAGGCATTTGGACTTTCTCTAGGGGGCACTGGAGAGCCATGGAAAGATTTGAACTAGGAAGGTCATGGTCAGGTTTATGCCTTAGAAATGTCTTTTAGGATGCAGACTAGGTTAGGGGAGTGGGGGCAAAACTGGAGGCCTGGAAGGAGACTGGGGCAGGACATAGGTGGAGTTGGGAAACTGAGTTAGTTAACTATTTCTATTCAATAAATTATTCAACAAACCTTCATTGTACCCCCATTCTGCGCCCGGCTCTGTGCTGGGGATATAGCAGTTACTGAAACAGCTGTGGGGTTCACAGTCTAGTGGAGAGAGGGGACAGGTCTGTTCCTGGAGAGTAACAGTCCAAGGTGGGCAGGACTGAAATGGAGGAACCCAAAGGCTACGGGAGCCCAGAGGGGAGCCTAATTCGGCCTAGGTGGTCAGGAAGGGCTTCCTGGAAGGGGAGACCTCAGCCTGAAGCTTTCTGATTCTCCGCTTTTTGCCTGGGCCTATCACTTATGTATTTCCATGTGCTAGACCTCTAATCTCTCCCCTTACTCTTTGCTTCACAGGCGTTCCCTGTGTTGGTGGGTGACATGGACAATAGTGGCAGCCTCAACGCTCAGGTCATTCACCAGCTGGGCCCCGGCCTCAGGTCCAAGATGGCCATCCAGGTGAGCAGGAGTTGAGTCGGCTGTTCCACTGGCCACCCTGAGCGCCAGGCTGCCCTCACACCTCTCGTCCTTCCCCACAGACCCAGCAGTCGAAGTTTGTGAACTGGCAGGTAGACGGGGAATACCGGGGTTCTGACTTCACAGCGGCCGTCACCCTGGGGAACCCAGATGTCCTGGTGGGTTCAGGTAAGAGGCACAGAGCTTGGGGGGGTGTCATACTCCAGCCCCAGCTTTGCCAGAAAGTTCAGCCTCTTCTCTGTACCTCCTTCCTACCATCCAGAAAGTGGGCATGGGCAGGAAGGTTTTGGAAACATCAGGCTTCGTGAGTGAGAAAGCAGGTTCAAACCCCGGCTCTGCCACTGGCTTAATTTACAATTGAAGGCAGGTTCCAGCGCCTCTGGGGGGGCCTCAGTTTTCTCTGTAAAGTTGGGCCGCCTTACGGTGTCATTGAGTAGGTCATGTAAGTTTATGTGTGTGAAAAGCTTCATAGGGGGTCAAACTTGTGATGGTGGGTCCCGAGGAAATGAGCTGCTCTTATTCCTTGTGGGGCTCTGGTGTTGTTTGAGAGCACAGAACAGATTCCAGGGTGGCAGGTTCCACGTGCAGCTGGGGAGGAGACAATAGTCTGAGATATGGAAGTTGGCGAGGAAAATTACTGTTTGTGTTGGTTGGGGGCAGGAACTGTTGGACTCTGTCTGTATTTATAGATCCTCCATTGTGTGTGTGTGTGTGTGTGTGTGTGTGTGTGTGTGTGTGATGTTGTTTTGTTATTTATTTTGTTTCTGGGTGTCTGCCTTTGATCTCTCTACATTTACATAATGAGTTTTTAGTGATCGTGTACGTGTATACTCTCTAGGCACAGAAGATAAGGGCCCGAACAAAGGAGAG